CGAGCTGTAAAAATAAAGGCAAAAGCAAAATAAATAAAAAAATATCTTTTTATATATATATATATATGTTTGTGTATATGGTGTAACGAGTTTCATAACTCGAGATGCCCGAAAGTGTTTGCACTTCTCCTTTTATATGCAATTTTCATGAGAAATTTCTCTTGATTTTTTTTCTTTTTTGTAAATTTTTATTAATATTTATGACGGCCAGACGGGAGGTGCAAATGCTGAATCACTTGTATCACCTTTAGCGTCGTTCCTTCTGTGCCAGTCTGTAATTGTGTTTCAATTTACCTGGAACACCAAGAATTTGTTGTCGGATTGCTTCGAACTAGGTGGTAACAGAACTTCTTCTTTTTGAGGATCACTTCGATATTGATTATGTTTGATGATCGATTGAGCAGTTGACCCGATCAAGTGCCGATAAAGACTATTCCTCGGACGGAACACTTCAATAAAATCTGTTACGCTTCTTAGTAAGTGCTCTATCGGTGGGATTGGTATTATTGCACACGCACGCTCGCCGCATGTAACAACAACAACAAAAAAACCCAAAGCACGTAAAGAAACGCAGAAAATTTGCCCGCAGAAAAAAATAACTGGAGAAATCAACAGCTAGTATTATTCTATAGTTTACATCAACAATGATATAGAAGCGCAATTTTTATATCGGATTACCTCTTAATCAGATTACAGTGTTGTAACACACACACAATTTAGCTTAATAACTCGTTTAAAGTTATTGCAATTAGTTTTTACTATTGAAAAATAATAATTTTTAATTATTATGTACAGAGGGCGACTAATAGCCTAATGGTTAAGTCGCCCTACCCACGATTTCGTGAGCGCCGGTTCGAATCTTGGTCAAGTCAGGCCCTTTGCGAGCTATCTCGGTGCTTGCAGCAATAGGGCCATCGTTCATCACAGATGTGTTATCACAGTCAAATGAATGAGGTTCAGCATATGGACATTTAGCCAAGTCGATAGACAATGGCAGTGTTAAAGATAGCAGCAGATTCACAGTCAAAGGAAATAGTGGAATCACATATCATCAATATATTACTAAAGTTAACCTACAAGACGATAACAACCAACAAATTAAAAAATCAAATCATCATAATATCAACCGCGATCTTAAATTTACTCAATGTTTACATTGATGAACAGATTGTGAATAAAATTATACGACATAACAAAAAAATATACAGATTGAATACAATATCAATCAAAATTTTCTTAAAAATTTCAAGAAAACTGATTTAAAAAAAAATGGATGCAAAATAAAGTAAATAAAATTCAATTCTTAAGAATCGCATAGAGCTTTGATAAAAACAAAATATGTACGAATATTAGAGAAACGTCAAATTAAATAAAATTTGAATGACATTGAAGCTCAATTTTTATATTTACTTCTTAATGAGATTAGAGTGGTAGGAAACATAATGTTGTTGTTTTGTAACACAATCAATTAGCTTAATAACTAGCTATATAAGTTAAAAACTAAATTTCAGTTATTTTTACTACTGAGAAACAGTAATTTGTAACAATTATTTCAAGCAAATAGTTTTCAAAAATATGGATTCAAAATAAAGTAAATTCAATTCAATTTTCAAGAATCGCAGCGAGTTTTGATAAAAACAAAAAGTATAGAAATATCAGAGAAACGTCAAATTAAGTAATAGTTTCAAGCAAACAGTTTTCAAAAAAATAGATTCTAAATAAGTTAAATTCAATTTATTTTTCAAGAATCGTGGAGTGCTTTGTAGGTATACGAATATCAGAGATATCAAATTAAGTAACAATTTCAAGAAAACAGTTTTGAAAAAAATGGATGCAAAATAAAGTAAATCAAAATCAATTTTCAAGAATCGCAGAGAGCTTTGATAAAAACAAAAGGTGTAGGAATATCAGAGAAAAGTCAAATTAAGAAACCAGTTGGTTTTGGGTATAGAAGGTAAATTAAAATTATACACTGATAATAATATCTTAGTGAAACCAAACCCAAAGTTTTTGAAGAAATCAGTGTTTGTGTGATATCTTCGTTACACGGTGTGGCGCCTAAGGAAACCCTACAAGATTGTTGCAAGTTGATAATAGTGATAAGTTATAATATACAGGTAGGTAATTGACGTTTGACAGGTTAGAAAAGTTAAGCAAGTTTCGCAATTAACGTTTGGATGGGTGAACTTTTTATATTTGACACAATATTGGATTATTTTATCTAATTTCCAAATTCATAGTTACAAGACGAAACATTTTAAAATTAAGATTTATAAGTTTCAATTTTACATTAATTTAAGAAAAAAAATAAAGTTATTTGAAAATTTGCTTAAATAAATATACATAAATAATTGTCAAACACACGATTTTACTGTGTCTACTTGGAACAAGAAAGTATATTAAATTTTATTTTTACTTAGAAAGAAAAATAATAATTAAAATAGAACCTAAGCGCATAAATTGAAACAAAGGTTTGACAGAAGCAAGTTTCGCAGTTCGCGTTTTGGGTGGGTGACCCAAATTCTTTATTTTATATAATCTCTAAATAATTTTCAATGATTACTACTCCAATAGTTTATATTATATTACATTAAAGTACTTACAATACAATGTTTAATCATATTCAGGAATGAATGTTGACAATAATTAGTTTAATATAACTCTTGTTTGTAGATACCAATTGGAATTGAATTAAACGCAGCCGAAGTTGGAAATTCTATTGTTACATGCTGTTGCAGTTTAAGAGAATCGTTCGGATGTAGTTCGTGCGCGAAGCCATATGTAAGTATTGCACGTCATTTTTTGCAGCCGTAATCCGATCTACATAAATACATAAATCGGTAATGACGTTAGAGGAAAGATGTCTGGAAACCGTTGCGTGCCGCTGCGTTCGTAATAATATAAGCGGTTGACCGTGTTTATATTTAAATATAAAATTTCACAAAAGCTTTTCATCCGCATTTAAATCCCTATTGCAGTACTAAAACGGACAGAAAATAAAGAAAAGTTATCATTTTGGGGCATCAATTTTTGTACTTTTCTCTTAAGATTATTATACTTGATTTGTGTGTTAGATAAACCGAATGTTCTTGCCTGAATTTACATTTTACATAACTTTTTATCCTAACTTCTGAACGAACTACTAAATTATACCTTACAGATGCAGTTGCACGTAATCACTTAATCAATTAACGTTTATCTACTAGTCTAATTGAATGCACTTGTCACTATTTACGATTGAAAGTAAATGTTATCGATCGTTATCTATTCAATACTAATTTAGCGCATCTAATGTTGTTATTGTTGTTTGGTGTATCTCCCAAATCCACGTGTTTCATATTGATTAATTTACTTTGTCTCAAGTTATATTTTTTTTTTGTAATATAAACATAAACATTTTATTATGTCCAAAATAGAATAATAGCATTTTCATACTTGATTTTTAAATACTTTTTAATTAAAAAAATATATCTAAACAAGTTTTATAATAAAACACGTTGTTTGTTGAGAATACTTGAAAGATATCGTTTGTGAAAGCTGCACGAATAAAGTACGTTAATAAACAGAAAAAAACTAAAAACTAGGTAAATTTATAAAATAATATTACATTTAAAAAACACATATTTTCAAAACGCATGAAAATAATATATGAAATTTACTAAAATCTATTTAATTGTTTTTAAGTGTTTACTAAGAAAGAATTTGGAAATTTTAATGAATGTTATATAAAGAATTATTTAAATATGAAATATTTCTTCTATTATTTGAATTAAAAAAAAAACTAGTAATTGCATTTATGCAACCCAAATAACGCGTTTGCTAAGTAAAAAAAAACTCATTATAAAATTGGTGCAATCTATGCTGAAACTTACTTCACAATATAAAATTGTATAAAAGAAGTCAATGATATAAAAAGAAAAGAAGTTCAATTTTAGTAAGTAATTTAAATATTTGTTTAATTATAAGGATCAAAATGTTTATAAATGATTATTTGTGTCATGTTTCTTAATGTTACTTTTTACTTGTGTTATAATGTAAAATTTACAAAAGTACGAAAAAGTCTTAAAAAGGAATGATAAAGTATTCAAATTTATATAAATATTATTAAATATCTTATATGATCCAATAAAAAGTGTATCAAGTTAAAGTTGTCAATGTATTTAAAGTTTTATGTGATGATTAGTATAAAATAAGAGTTAATTGAATGTCTGCTGAGATATAATTAACCGGGAGTTTCGCGCTTTGCGGAATGAGCAATGCACGTCGTCCATCTGACATTGACAACACTAGTTTACGACAAGAGGATAATATCAATTACATACATAAATTGCTTATATTTCTATACAGATATAGATGAATAAATAAATATTTTATAGTGTACGCACAGGTTGTGCGAGCGTGACTCAGCGGTCACGTATAATTTACAACAATTCCCATCCAGCGTATATGGAATGGATAACGCAAGTAATGATGCAAGTGCATTTCATTTGAATTATTGCCGAGCAGCAGAAAGAGAGTTTTGCCTGTTCTCTCTCATATTTTGCCTTTTTTTTATATATATAAATATAAATCGTCGTTTTATACAATCTAAAATACATATTTTTTTTGTCGACGTTTCACTGGTCCCCATATACAGAACTGTCTTAGAACAACGAGTCCTCGAGCACACGACTGGTGGCGGCGGCATTCCAAAACGATTCTTTAAAAACCGTTTCCGAAAGCAAAGTGTGCGCCATCATCGTCGACGGTTTCGGCAGAAATCACTTGCGATTTATATAATTTGGGATGCTGAGCGTCACTTTGGCCGTACGTGACTCGTATATTTAACATTCCCTCGGGTGGAACTATTTGTTCGGGCAGTTTAAGCGTGGCATGAAGCCATATAAGAATGTAACAAAACTTGCATTTACGCTTTTTCTTTTTATTTCCAACGAGCGAGAAAAGAAACAATCGTTGCTCAACAACGCACGAGGTATTCCGCTGCAGTTCGCTCGACTTACCTTCAAGAAGTCGCGCAGCCACAGCACTTCCGGCTTTGGATCGCCGATCACCTCGCAAAGAATCACCACGTCATCACCTTCATAAGCAATCGAATTCAAGGGTTTCTTCAGGAACTTGGGTTCTTTCGAATATCTGAAATATAACGAATATATAACTATACAAATCTATTTAATTATCTTGATTGTGATATAAATCTTACGGTTGATCTATCTGTACAACAGAAGCTTCTTCGATTTTGCTCTTTGGACCTTTTTCGAGAACTTCAACGGCGCAACTAGTTTCAGCTCTTCCGATTTCGTTGGTGGCAATGCACGTGTAAACACCAGCATCTCTGCTGGTTACCGCACCAACGCACAACTGGACTCGTCCATCGTGGCATAATGTCGTCACTGCTTTTCTAGATTGCCTCAGACGCATCTGGAAAACAACAACAAAATCAATGAAGATGATACAAAAGAATCGTCACCATCCAATATTACCCCATCCCTGTACCAAACTACGCTAACCGTGGGATAAGCTTGGACTTGGGTGGCCAGCATCAACTCTTCGCCTTCCTGCAGTTGTAAACCTTGCGGTGTGATTTCGTTGATGAATTCTGGAGCTATGTACGTTCGAATTCCTGTATCTACTACTAAATAACAACGACAAGATACTGATCCGAAATCGTTCTGAGCTATGGCGCTGTACGTCGCCGAATCGTCTAAATTTGTACGACAAATCTCGAGAGTGTGGAAATTCTCTTCAAACCAATATGTGTGTCTGGCATCCACCAATATTGGTTTTCCGTTCTTGTACCAAGACACCTTCGGCGATGGTCTTCCCGCTACTTGGCACGTCATCCTCACCGGATAGCTGTTCTGGATGCGTCGGTTACGCAAACGCATCGTGAATTGCGGAGGTATCTCTTCCGTGTTCTCCTCTTTCAAACCCCTTGAATTCAAAAGGTAAATGTATTATTATTTTTAAATTTAACAAAAAGATTGATTACAAAGTTAGTTTTGATAAAAACAAAAGACGAAACGTCAAGTTAAGTAGGTAAGATTAATGGCGCTAAAAGAAGAAGATAATATTATCCTAAAGTTGAGTTTTACAAACATTATTTTAGAAAAAGACTGTGACTATCTTGATCTGTGTGATGACCTCTCAATGGTACGAAGTTTCTATATGATCTATTACCACTGGAGCAACTCATTGTGATGTTTGTCACAGCAGAATTTAATCAGGTATATATTACTTTGTTAAAATACTTTTAGTTCCTTTTTTTATGAAACAAAGCAAATTTATGATCTAACGCAGTCATTCCCAAAGTGGTCTATATCGACCCTCAGGGGTCTATGACAACCTGCAAGGGGTCTACGTCAACGAAAAAAAATTTGGGGGTCCATGAAATGAAAATGGGGGTCCACGATAGTGGATGTCAACATACACTGATAGTACCTATTTACTTACAATATACTATCTTATAATATAAAGACATATACATTATTTATAAAAGTATCTATGAAGTAAAAAAAATATTATATATGTTTATAAAATTGTGTAAGTTGTAGGATGTAGGCATTGGCTTTGTGGTCGCAATACATTTTGAACTTGTAAAAACCTGCACATAATGATATACGAGTATCATCTTGTTACAAGCATACGCGCAGTCTTAGAGCAAAGATCTTAATAATTATGAAGATGTCCCAATATAAATAATAAATTTACAAAAAAATCTATATCAGGTAAGTATGGGGTCTACCCAAAACCGAAAAACATGGTAAGGGGTCTACGACAAAATAAAGTTTGGGAACCTCTGATCTAACGTATACGTACTCTTTAAGATGGGTGTCAGCAACTAGAAGTTTCGGATCGGAAACCACGCAAAGACGAACGAAAGTGGAGACTTTGCCTATTCTGTTGACGGCCTCACAGGATACACGACCAGCATCTTCGATTCTCAATTGTTTGATCTTAAGAGAGCACAGACCGTCTACGTTCTTAATGACGTAGTTCTTGTCATCCTCTTTAATGGCCGCATCATCCCTGCGCCAAATTACCGTCGAGTATGCGTCGCACTTCAGATGGCATTCTAGTATAATCTCCGAGTTCAGGAGAACCTTCATCTGACCAGGAAGAATTTTGGTGAACTCCGGTAGCTCGACGTGACGTCCGATGGTCATGGGATCGCTCTGCACCGGTTCTCCCCATCCATACCTGTTCCTAGGAGTCACCCGGAACTGATACTCAGTGTCTGGTATAAGATTGAAAGCGTCGTAACTGCTTATTGGGGTGATACCGAGTTGGACCCATCTGGTCTCGCCTCCCTTCTGCCATGCCTCCACTTTGTAGGCGATCACTGGTGCAGCGCCTCTGCAGTCCGGTTTACCCCATGCCAATGATACCCAATTCCTTCCCGTGTCGATGATTATTGGCGGAGAAGAAATTGGCCCTGGCACTTCTAGATATTGGACACACACAAACAAAAACGTTTACTATTTTCGTATCAACTTGAAAACTTCGCTGTTCACCTTGATAGAACACCAAGTAATCTAAGAAATTTGAGACGCCCTTCCTGTTGCTCCAGGTATTCCGGAGCAATGTCAGGAGCAGCAAATCTCCATCGAATTTAGAGGTAAATTCATCCACACGCATTCTATCTATCCACTATATACTATGTCAAGCAACAATCACTCACTGATCCGAGTCCAACGACAAACTATATTTATTTACAGTGGCTAAATTTACAATGCCAAAATATATCTTTATACCTGGCATCGCTACCTACCTCTGAGCGACTGGCGTTCTTGGTAGCTTGGGATTTCGTCCAGAATGTCGGTTAATGTAGTCGTCCTTACAGGAGTGGCTGATCTGGCACGTTGCCTCAATCTGACTGTGAAGAAAGCACGATCACACCCGAAACGATTTTTGGCGAGAATGCAATACGTTCCAGCATCATTATCGGAAGCCCTCTTCAACGTAAATCGCACGTAATCATCGGAAGTGAATTTCAATGAACGATGACTATTGGTGATATCCTTCAATCCTTTCATCCAAGTCACTAAAATACATTTGATTGAAAATATTTTGATTCTACATTAACATTCATAATATTAACCTTTCGGTTTGGGCTCTCCTGAAATCCTAAAGGATACGGTTATGTCTTCGCCGTTTGCTACGCTCATCAAAGTGTCTGGTCTCGACAAGAACATTGCCGGCTTTCCCTCCTTTAGATTGTTAGGATCTATCACATCTACATAAGCTGAGGTCTCGATTTTTCCGTAATTGTTCACCGCACTGAAAGTGTATTTTCCTATATCCGATTCAGTCGCTTCTGGTACCAACAGAGTGTACACTCCAGATTCTTCATAGGTCTTATGTTTTAGAGAATCTTTTGGCAAGGGACTGTTCTCTTTGTACCAACTAACTTCTGTTGGTGCACCTTTAACCTCCACCTGCAATGCTAAAACTCCTCCAGATGGAACATGGTTGTCCGTCAAAATGCTCGATAAGTGCGGTCTTCTGGAATCCACAGCGAGTTTGCTGGAGGCCGATCTTTCAGACCTCGCCGATATGAAATCGCTTTTACCTAAAAATCATTGATAATTAAATTTAAGTTTGAAATTTAAATATTATTTCGAACTTACTGTTGAATCGTAACTGATGTGAAATCTGATCATTCCAAGAACTATTTTCTGCTTTACATGAATAACAACCGTTATCCTCAGAATTCGGATTCCTGATTATCAATTTGCAAATGCCATCTGCTAAGTACTGGGCCTCGTATTTCTGTCCATGTTCAATGTTCCTTCCGTCTTTCTGCCAGGTTATAGTGGGCATCGGATGCGCTCTTATCCTGCATTCCAAGCTCATTTCATCATCAACGATCCTGTAATGCTCTCTGATATGTCTGGTAAATACTGGTGGCATCGGAGATGGCTCGAAACTATCGTACACTTTCAATTGAGCTTTGGTCGAATTACATCCGTGTTCGTTCTTAACAAAACAGCTGTATTCCCCGGTATCACTTACGGTGGCGTTCAGCACTTCCAAGGTAGCCAATCCATCTCCAAATGATGTTTTGTATTTGTTTGAGTGTTCCAACTGGAGGCCATCCTTCATCCACATAAGGATTTGCTCTCCGGTAGAAATTATTGTACAAGTAAGTTTCACTCTTGAGCCTGATGTTGCTGTTCTGTTTGACAGTTGTGTGCCAAACATTGGTCTTTTATCTACGAATCTTGATGCTCTGTAACCGGTAGGTTTATACATTTCGAAACCCAGATCTGACATGTCACGACCGGTGAATCTTGGTTTCTCACGCACTGGACTTCTTCCTCTACGATCGTGGAATGAATCGCTCTTCTCAGAACTTTCATCATCGAACTTTTTAAATTTGGTAATTACTTGTTCACGTGGAATTTCCAAATGTTGATGTTTCTCCTGAACGATAAACTTCTTTTTTGCACCTGTTGCTTCACACTCTGCTTTTGATTCCCTTCCAGATTTCACTTCGATTTCTTTCTCTAAATGAATCTTTACATCAGCTGCTTTATCTCTCTTTAATTTATCTGATTTCTTTCTATCTTCTTCCTTAGACTTTTCAATTTCTGTTATTTCTGATTGTATTGTTTCTTTTTTTTCTGTAGCATCCTTCTTCACTACTTTACTTGATCTTACTTTCACATCTTTTTCGACCTTTGCTTTTTCTGTTTGAGCTTCGCCATCAGTCTCTATCTTTGGTTCAACATATTTATTTTCCCTTTCCTTCTTAGCCACATCTTTAGCTTCCATCTCTGCCTTTAATTTAGCTTCAGCTCCTTTGGCTTGTTTTTCTTTCTTAGCTTTTTCTTTAACTTCTTTTTCTGCCTTTTCCTTCTCTGCTTTATCTTGAGCTTCCTTCTCTGCCTTTAATTTAGCTTCAGCTTCTTTGGCTTCCTTTTCTTTCTTAGCCTTTTCTTTAACTTCTTTTTCTGCCTTTTCCTTCGCTTCTTTATCTTGTGCTTCCTTCTCTGCTTTTAATTTAGCTTCAGCTTTTTTGGCTTCCTTTTCTTTCTTGGCCTTTTCTTTAACTTCTTTGTCTGCCT